GCGCTGTCGAGGATATGCGCCAGAGCCACGCGCCTTCGAGCATACGCGCCACCACGAAAGCGATGAATCTGCTCATGTTTCAGTACCATGTTGTCGCGAGATGAAGGACGACCACTTATCTGAAAAGGCGCCCCCCGCCCACCCAGCCCTGACTGGGGGTACGGGGAATTGCCCGCACACGGGACTTGTTGCCGCGTGCTATAGCACGGGCCAGGGAAAGGGGAGGAGAGGAGAGGAAGGTGGAGGTGGGAGGGAAAGAAAAGGGGGGAAAGAAGGGTGCCGCCCGTGAATTGAGCCTGTCGTGTGGGGGGCTCATTCCCACTCCGACGTGCCCCTCCCCGGGCGGCGCGGGAGGGACGACTCCAGTCATGTGCCGCCCGATTATAGAGTCACCGCGGGGTGGATCAGACCCCACGGCCTGCCCCTCCCCGGGCGGTAGGAGGGACGACTCAAGTGTGGGGTGGCCGCCCTCGGTACTAAGCGTATATCAGCACCAAGCTCTGCGACAGGGAAGAGAAAGAGGACTCACGATTAACGACTGGCCCGTGCCCCACTTGCGGGCACTGGTCCCCCCACGGGCGGCGCAGGGGGGAGGGCGGTCGAACGAGGGAACGATGAGCGTAAACGGGCGGGGTTATATATGTGGTGAAGGTGGCCCGTGCACTACCTGCAGCGTCATTTCCACTTCGTCATCCGGGCATTGTTCACCGAGCCAAGCCACCCGCAACAGATGGTCCGACGTTTTCAGGTGGAGAGATTCCTATTGCTCAGGGTTTACCTCCGAGAGGAACGACCCCTTTTGCGGCGGGTTTGTGACGACGAAGGTGAAAGGGAGCCGAGAGCTTGGAAAGAAGGCGATATTTGTCAGGAAGTTGGACAAATCATTCACCTGAACCACCGAAATAACCTCCAGCTTGCTAAGCCTGCCCGAAGATGTTCTTCTGTCTTCCCGAGTGCACACAGCATAAAGGGTGCCTGAACACGCTTTGCACCCTGCCCTGGCCACCAGTAACCAAGGTGAGGTGCATATCCGAGGAGAGAAGAAACCAGGATCCGAAGATCCCAGTTTCTTTTCTCTTCAGCCCGGAGTAGCAGCTCCCACCGTTTCTAGGCAGGCCGCCGGCTGAGAATAGCTTTGAGGTGCAACCGTAATGGCGATGACGATGGCTCTAGCCTTTCGCGTTTCTTCGGCTTTCGCGTCCTCGCGCGGTTTAGACTTGATCGTTCTCCGCCTCGTCTCCCGACTTGCTCTCGCGTTGGAATCTTGGGCACTCGTTCATTCATTATCATTGTGCATCGAGAATCATGACATTGAGCTACGGACCCGTCAACCCCTCCGTCGACCTTCTGCAGCCGACAGAGGACGCCTGAGGCGCAGCAACCCCCCTTACTATTGGGCGCGAGCCCACTTGCTCTCGATCTCCATTATGCTGACGGATGTCTTCGCCTGCCAAACTTCCATCAGCGCTGGCGCCAGCCGGTACAACGCAACACACCTTCTCGTCGTAGTCCGTCCACTCTCCCTCTCCAAGCTCGATCTCCCCAAACTTCGTCCCACTCTCAGCGCCCTTACACTCCCACGCGCCCTGCGGGCTAAACCCCGTGAACTCGAGCCCGCGACAGTCGAGGGTAATGAGCGGCGCGAAGTGCGGCGCGTCGTCCGCCGTGTATGGGCGGGGCTTGGCGCCAGGCTCGAACTTGGCGGAGGACTCGCGCTTGCAGAACTTGCATGACCAGACGAAGTGTGCGCTCCCTCGAGAACCATTCAGCTCGTGCTCTTCCTGCGTTCAGACTGAGTCGCGGCTCGCGGGGTCGAGTAAGTGAGACGCACATGCATGTTCACCGTGACGAGATTCGGGTGGACTTCATTGCAGCTACTGCACTTCACCTGATCACACCATCAGCAACATAGATACGCGTATGAGACAAGTTATCCGACGCACCTGGAAGTGATACTCGAACGGCCCTTCAGCTTCTGACGGTACCAGGTCCGTTACACTCTCGAGCTCGGCTTTGATGGACAGTTGCAGGCGCTATTATCTCCACGCGATGAGTATATAGCGCATATATTAACAACAACGTGACTTACAACCATGTTTCTATGATATTAGTGTATTGGCCAAGGTGGTGGATCGTGACGTTACACCGCGGCATTGCGTGGGAACCCTATCGGCGTCGGGACGATCCCGATCAGGAAATAAACCGATTCGTAAGAACATCGAAATTGCAAACGACGAGGACCCACGCTCGCTCGGGCTTCATCCCTTCCCCCCCCCCCCCCCCCCCCCCCCCCCCCCCCCCCCCCCCCCTTCCCCCTCCTCCCCACCGCCTTCTCCGCTCTACGATTCACGATGAGCGCAGAAGAGCCCGCGGTGCCCGACCCGCCCAAGACGTCCGCCGAGTCCACATTCTCCTTCGCCGGCGCGATCGCGGGCTTTGGCAGCGGAGTCACAAAGGTCGCTGTCGGACACGGCTTCGACACCGTCAAGACACGTCTGCAGTGCGCGCCGCTTGGGCTGTACAAGGGACCATGGGACTGCCTAGTGAAGACGGTGCGGAATGAGGTGCGTGGTTGTGCTTCATGCGCACGCAGTGGGTGCTGACCGAGTCATCGGCATGTAGGGACCGTTAGCGCTGTACAAGGGCGCTGGGCCCCCAGCCCTGGGATGGGCATTCATCGACTCCCTGCTTATCGGCTCGCTACACAACTATCGGCTCTTCCTGATGAAGCATGGGTGGACCGAGCCTCTGCCCTCGTCAACGTTGGGCGAGACGCGCCTGAACCTGTCGGGGCACGCGCTGGCTGGCCTCTGGGCAGGCTGGACAAGCTGCATCATCGCCATGCCTGTCGACTCGCTCAAGGTGAAGCTGCAGCTGCAGTACGCGCGCGACCCGCGGGACTGGAAGTACAAGGGGTCGATCGACTGCATGCGGGTGCGCTGTCCTCACCTGCGATCCGCAGCGACAAGCTGACACGCGCAACAGCAAATACTCGTCGCCCAGGGCCCGCTCGGCCTCTATCGCGGCTTCCTCTCTATGGCTCTCTCCCGCAGTTGCTTCGCCGCCATGTTCTGTAGCTACGAGGTCCTCTTGCGCAGTTTCCGTAAGTTGGAGCTTTCCGACGGGACCTCGTCCTTCCTAGCTGGCGGCCTGGGATCCTTCTCCTACTGGGCATTCGCCCTCCCGTTCGATAGCATCAAGAACCGCATATTGGCGGACGACCTGGTCAAGCCGAAGTTCTCGAGCAGTCCCATCGAGATGGGACGACGGATATACGCGGAAGGCGGGTTCCTCCACTTCTATAGAGGATTTTGGCCGGTTGTCTTGAGGGCGTTCCCCGTAAACGCGAGCGCGTTCCTTGTGTTTGAGACCATCTTGAGACTGGTCGGGGCTGAGAAGGTGAGTGTTTGCGTCGCTGATAGCCAGACTGTCGCTGACGAGGTGCCAGACGAGCAAATAGACTACGGACTCGAAGCCGCCAGCGTTGGGCTTGCGCATACCCTATCTCTCATTGGATATCCTCTTGATTTGGTCATCTACTGTATCACCTCTCACCTAGACGCTCGAGGGCACTTGTATAGAATACACTACTGTAGTAGTAATACATAATCACCGCTCCACCGCAGTATCATCCCTCTGGCGCGGCATCCTCCGCTTTGGCGACTTCACCTCCGAGCAAGCCCGTGGTCAAATCGACATGAGGGTATTCGCAGCGCTCATCGAGCATGGCCTCTCCCCATGTGAGCATCCGCATCAGCCCAGCGAGCTTCGCCTCCTTCCCCTGATTCTGACTCGCGAGGATGGCAGCGTTCAGCTCGTTCGCCGTCTTCTGCCGTTGCCCCATGCCGAGCAGCGGGGCGATGTCCTCCGGCGGGTTGTCGAACGCGAGTAGGGTCATCGTGCGCTCCAGCTCGCGGAGGAACTCGGGGTTCTCCGTACCGCGGGGAGCGAGGTGTGTTTGCGCAAACGTGATCGCACCCTCGATGTCACCCGCACGGATGTACTCGATGAGCCGCTGTTGTTGCAGGTGGAAGAACAGCCGTGGGTTGGAATCGAGTACCTGGGGAGACGGTGAGCATACATGAACAAGTTTCGGTCAGGAAGCGAGAAGATCATATTGAAGACTGAAGTTTTGGTGTGTCGAGTATCACCAGCGCCCCGAAGGGCTCAGCGTGGTGCATGAAATGTTTAATCCTTTGAAGTGCAAAGCGTACGACGCAGTGCGAAAGGAGCAAGGTCTTGACACGCACCTCTGGGTTCAGCTCGTTCGTCCGGTTGATCGCCTCGTCGATGTCACCCCTACATATCGCGTTCCGAATCAACGTCCGCTCTTCGATAGTATCGAGCTCGACGGGTGGCTGCAGCCCAGATTCGCGCGAGAAGTTCTCCGCCGCTTCCTTGTACCCCTCGATGACGAGGTAGTCCATCACAAGCTGGTTCAGGTCACTGAGACGGTGGTTAGCGCAAAAACATGAGGCACGAGAAGGGAGAGTCAGATAGCAAAGTAAAATAGTTTTCCGCAAGTTGTTTAGGAGAGATTCCCACTTGCAATAAGTTTCATCACGCGAAGAATGGAGGCAGCCAACAGACGAAAACACGGCACTCACTGTTTAGTGACCCGAACCTGTTGTAGTCGCTTATTCCATTCTGGAACCGGTATGCTTATCTTGCCGCTGTTGGTGACCTGCACAGAAGAGGTCGGCCATCCTGCGGGAGAGTAACGGAAAGAGGGGCGTACCATGATTTTCTGGTCGTACGTCTGGAAGTCTGCACTTTTAGTCGTGGCTGTGGGAGCGAGTAAATACCTCCGCTCTGACCGCGCCATTAGGGTTAGGGTTGCAGGTGAATTAGCTCCCGTGTGGCTGCGCAAGGGTCTCCGGAAGTAAAAAGTTCCGCGGACGTCAGATTCATCCCCGGGCCGCCTTATCCGTCAAGTTTTCCACTGATTTCGCACGTTCTCCACCTTAGGGTACGAAGGACTCACCACAAAAGTGCTAGATTGCCCCCTACAGGGATTGATCCTGTGACCTTTTGTTATTAGATGCATCCCTGGAAGGGGCATACAAGACAAACGCTCTACCACTGAGCTAAAAGGGCAATGATAGTTGGCCCCTCCAACCTTTGAACCTTGAATGCACTCCGCAACTGCCCTGTACCTCCGCAACTGCACTTTACCAAGGGGGGCCGCAAAAGGAGTTGGAATGGTATACATTGCAGAAATAGGGTAAGCCCTTTTGGTGGGCATATGTACACTAGCGACTTCTATGAGGTATTACTCCAGCGCCGCCCTCATCACCCCTCCCAAAAGCCCCGAAAACTGTCTATGCCGACGGCCACATCAAGTTCAGCACCCACATGCCAAGGAGGATGATCCCCAGGCGTATCCGGACGTCCTCTTTCCACCCCCTCATGACCGGCCTTAGGAACTCGAGCGCCTGTCCTCGCGACGACGGCGATACCCCATGCGCGTGACCGTTCTCTAGCACGTCGGGCTCCTTCTCTGCTTCGGCGCTGGTGAGGGGCACATTCTCCGGTTCCTGCGTTCGTGTGGGCGGGGCGGAAGTGCCGGCGACACGCTGCGTCGGGAGGACGGGCTTCTTCTCCGGCGCACCGAGGATCCAGCTGGTCAGCGTGCCCGTCGCTGCCGCAACGTTCCACGAGATGTACACGAACATGAGCGTGGCGATGACGAGGTTGAGTGAGCGCCACCTCGTCCGGGGAAAGACGACGAGGATGCCCTTGGTATCCGCCGCGAGCCAGATGTGGTACTGCATGATGAAGGTCTCCAGGGAGATCTTGCCCACGAACGTGTACAGGCGCGAGGTGGCCGAGCGCAGCACGGGCGTCGCGTTTCGCAGGATGAAGAATGCGGCGATGGGGAGGAAGGAGACGTATGGGTGGTAGGCGTTGTACACGAACTTTGTCTCCCTCGTGAGCTCGAACCAGAAGAACCAGGCGAGGGTGACGACGGACAAGCCGAGCGCGGCGCGCTTCGCCGTCGTCCACTGCGGGTGATCTGCCAGTCGATGCTGGTTGAATTTGAGCACTGCGAGCGCGGTGAACGCGCCGAGCCAGACGATCCAGAGGTCGAGCCCGACGCGAAAGTCCCATTCGCGTGCGTTCCAGGGAAGACGGAACACTCGGTGCAGCACGTCGAATACCGCTTGCATGATGAACGGCTGGTGGGTGGCCAGTGCTACGAGCCCGCCTGAGAGGAGCATCTTTGGGATCAGGAACGACAGCTGGTCGTTGTACTTTGCCCCCGCGAGCATGGTAAAGTAGATGATGAGGAACCAGAAGGAGACGAGCGGGGCAAAGTAGTAGAAGAGGTAGTCCGTGTCCATCGTGTAGGCCAGGACGACGGTGAGCAGGTTGAGCCTGACGAGCACCTGGGCGATACGCAGGAAGGAGTAGTCCGCCTTGCGGTAGTAGAACGTAAAGTGCCCGTAGCCGGTCATGAACAGGTATGCGGCGACGAGGACGCGCACGGGGTTGTAGATTCCCGAGATCTTGGACCCGCCGTAGTAGTGGTAGGCGAGGATCACGACTGTGACGACATCAGCACATGGCGCTACGAAATGCGATCACAACACGCACTCTGCATCCACCCCTTCCACTCGTCCGTCTGGTCCCGGTTCAGGAACCCCAGATCCTTATCCGCGCGGTGCATTGTCCCCAGGCCGAGGAGGAGGAAGATGCCGAGGATGCCGCCGAACTGCCAGGGGTCAAACTGCTTCTGCTCCTTGTCCCAGAGCGGCGTGCGGTCTGCCAGGAAGGCGAGGAGGATGGCGAGCCCGAAGATGGCAAGGTGTGATTGGGTCTCGCCCGAGGGGAAGAGGGATTTGAGCACGGGGCGGTTGTCTAGAGTAGATCAGCAAGGCGCAGCTGTGCGGAACAACTGAACGCACCCTGCTTCGAGACATACAGCTTGGCGACCAAGCCCCATCCCGCGATGCACAGAATGACCAAGCCCTGTACGATGCTCGGCCAGGGGTATGGCCTGCAGCATGTCCTGTCCCAGGGGAACTTCGGCGGGAGCACCTTGTTGCACCGATGGTTGAGCAGCAGCTGGATCTGCATCGCCATGATTCCCTGGGAGAAATGCAGGCCGTCGTCCGTCTGGCTCGGGTCGAGCAGCTCGTTGAACACGCTGGGGATGACCACCTCGCCCAGGGGGTGGTCATCGTGTGCAGCGGAGGCGGCGGACCACCAGCCGCCCGGGCGCGTGACCCGGTGCACAAGGTCAGAATTCATCACCTCCACGTCCGCGGGGTGGATCGTGCGCTGCCTCTCTGGGTTGAGCTTGGCATGCACGGGCTCCTCAACGGGGAGGAAGACGATTTCGTCTGCGGCTGGCTGGCCGCCCTTCTCCGCGCGCGCCGAGGCAGAGGAGAGGAGGGAGAAGGTCGAGTCGACCATCTTCTCCCACGCTGGGAGGCCGCCGCTCGCCGGGTTGCGGAGGTACCAGAGTCCGCTGCCGAGGACGAGCAGCGCTGGTGGCTGGCCGCGCGCGGGGACGGAGAGCGCCTCCCGCGTGCTGGTGCTGTTCAGGTACGGGTCCCAGAGGAACTCGAGGCTCATGCTCTGTGTGCCTGACACGAGCGTGTGGTCCACATGCTTCCCCCCGTCGTTCGGCGTCGTTCCCGGAAGCGAGGGGTCGACGATATGTGCAAAAGTGAAGAATAGCTGGCGGACGGTGCTGTCCCCCAGGAAGAGGACGCGGCGGTTCTTGAGGCAGGGCGAGACGGTTTTCGAAGTGTACATGTTCATCATGCAGCCTAGGCGCCGTTAGCCGCGTATATGCCAGAGATGAGCGCACACACCCTCCGGCTGCCAGTTCCTGAACGCCTTATCGAGCCACCTGCCCTCGTTGACAAGCTTATGACAATGGTCCCTATCCGCCCAATCTGTCCTCCCTGTGAGCGCCTAAGCAGCACGTAAACGCGCAAACAGCACGCACCGATGAGGAGAAGCCTGAGGACGCCCGTGAGGAGGGTGACTGCGATTGTGAGCGCGGCCGCATACTGCAGCCAGAGGTGCTGGGCGGACTTTTTGCTCGGTCCTGCCATCGTAGGCGCTGAAAAACGGAGGGGCGCGCGCGAGGTGATTGGTGTATGCTCGCCCGAGCTGAGAGTGGAGAAAAAGACTGGGGAGGAATGCGCTGCTGTCAGCGACGGGTTTCCCTAGGAATGTACGGGTAGGAGAGCGCCTAGGACTAGCAGCCCATGGGCGTATGTCAGACTGAGAGTAAGGTTCAGCCCGCAGGGGATCGCCCCTGCGCTGTTGCCCTGTTGAGTGGCGGGAAAGGGATGGGGCGCAGTGCGGGAATGCGGCTGGTCGGCACCATCAGAGGGCGTCACTATTACGGCATTGACCGACTACGACTACAATCGCACTCAAGTTCATCATTCCTGCAATTCAATTCAATTTAACGACGACTTCTTTACAACGAACGATGACCTCTCCTCTAGCAATCTCCTCCCTCGGTGCACAAGGGTTCCCCGCGTCCCTGCAAGGCTTCGCAAAGACCGCGCAAGACGCACAAGGAATCCTCGCAACCCTGTGCGTATCTCCCCACTTCCCACTCTCACTCCAGTACTGAACGTACCTCACCCCAGGTCAGCGCTCTACCCCACCCCTTCCCTCTCCCCGCTCGCCTCCTTCTCCCCTCCCGCCCTAACCCTCCACCCCTCCTCCACCCCTCCCCCGTCCTCAGCCACGCAAGCCCTGTACACCCTCGTATCATCCTGCAACAGCATCGCCGCTTCCGTCCAGCTCGGCAGCCTCCTCGCGGGAGGAGCGAGCGAGGCGGACGAGTTCTCCGACGTGGGCGTTTGGCTTGGCGATCTGGGTGGGGCGGAGGGCGCGCAGGCTGTCGGGGCGCTGGCCGTCAGCCGGCTGGGACTGGAGGCCTGGGCGGGGGCAACTGTACGCCCTCCTCTTCCTCTCTCTGCTACCCCTCTGACAAAGCCCTAATGGCAAGCAGGTAAGAGCGCGCAACGCCGAGCTCCCCGTCCCCTGGGAGCGCGTCCCCGCCTCCCTCTCCAAGCCCCTGCTCGAGCTCCTATTCCAGCTCGACAAGCCCGTCATGTTTTCCCTCGAGGGCGGCAACGACGCAGGGGACACGCCAGTGTTCCTGCTCGGCAAGCTGGAGGGTGGGTGGGGCGGCTTGGCCAGTGTGGCGGTGTGGACCTGAGCGCGCCAAACAGGAAACGGAAATGAGATGCGCTGGATAGTATCGTACATGCGGGTGTAGGAATACAAGAATCGAATGCCGTTGCCGTTGTATGCAGGAGCTACTTCTTCCCCCCCTCCCCCTCCCCCTCCGGAGGATGCTCAAACCCGTCCGCCCCCTCCCCCCTCCCCTCCCTCTCCAACTCCTCCATACTCTTCCACACACCCCTGGAGGCATGCATCACCTCCCAAAGCTGGCCGACCTGCTCATCGCTCATCTTGTCAAACACCGTCGGGTCCATCTTCTTCCCCCGCACACCGGAGGGGGAGGAGGACTGCTGAAGAAGCTCGGAGAGGTACATGCTCCATTGGGAGAGGAATCCCATGATGTGCACAGGGTTGGTCGTCGTTTGATGACGGCGGAACTCTGCAAGCGAACATCGAACATCGTGTCAGGCGCACACTGGAGCAGAGGAGCAGGCAAACGCACCGGACTTGACATACCCGTCCCCCAACCCCCTCATCTCCCCAGGCAGCTTCCGATGCGCCCTCAACAATGCCCTATACAATCTTTACGCCCACAAAGAAACAGTCAGTCAGCGCTGCTCTGCTCTGCAGTTGAACTGCGAGGGACGGACGCACGGGATCGGCGGCAGCAGGGATTGGGATACGGAGCGCGGGTTCAGAGGGCGCGCGGAGATGGACTCGGCGTATCGCAGGAGGAGGGAGGGGCGCATCGGTCCTGTTCCTCTCCCCGGTCCTGGTATGCTGAGTTTAGCTGATGGCGCGTAGAGAAGGTCGTGATGGGGAGCTGCTGCTGGAATGGGATGGAGCGGTAAGGAATCGGGGAGAGGGAGAGAGACTCGGAGGAGACCCTGAGGCTTCTGAAAACCTCTCTGCGATTGCGGACGATGAAGGGAACC